GGCATCTTTTACATGAGTTGTGTTGTTAAAGAATATATATTTCATTGGAACCAAATAAAATATTACTTAAAGTATTATGAGAATATAAGTTTCTTATATTGGACATGATATTGAAGCGGAAATAAAAATCGAGCAGCAAGAAACTAAAATATCCATGGGTTGTGACATTCAGGCCAATGATTACTTTTTAGAGTGGTATCATTCAGTTGAAAAGTGTCGAGTTTTGAGTTTTGTTTTCTCAATATAAATCATATTAAGTAATTTTTACTTGGATAGAAATATAAATAAATTATAGTTTTACAGTTGGTGTAGAATACCTTTTAAATTACATTTAATGAACTTTAAACTGATAAAAGGCTTATACAAAATAATCGCCACTTACAGGGTCCATTGGTTCTAAGACTAATTGTTTGCGAAGTCGTACGGCAATATAAAAAATTTTAATTAATTTAAACCGCTAATTTAACCCAAATCAACTACAAAAATGATTATAAACGTCGTTATCAAAGTCGATGTCAGTTACAATTACACATAAAAAAATTTAGTTTGGTCTGATAAATCTTATAATGATGTACAAAAAATTTGAAGTAAGTCTTTTGAGATATTGGAGAATAATGGATTTATAGTTTATAGTTTCAACAGTATAATTTAACGTACAATTTTTAAATAAATTTATCCATAACAGAGTTGTGACTGCTTTTAATTCATGGCCTGTTATATACACATATACACATAAATGTTACTCTTGTGAATAAAATTACATATATAACATATACATATATACATATACATATATCTTAAGCTATATTTAAAATGAATTCATTCGTACTTAAGAAAGTTATTGCGTTTTTTATCTAAGTTGGCAAAAAAACATATTTGAAAACTTGTTTTACTATGAAAGCCAAAACTTATCTGTCATCTAAATTATTTATAAGAATTTTCCATTTTATGAAAGATATAAATATACAAAAATTTAATTAATTTATTTCCTGCACATATATTTTTACATATTTTTTTATTTAAAATTATGTTCAATGAGATAATTATGATGGAATTTAATTTAATCTACACACTTATATAAAACTATTTTTGATAACGAATGTAAAAATTAAAATTTTGGAATTTAAAAATGATTTTATTTGTCTTGCATTACCATTTCGTTTATCAAAAGGCACCTCCTTTGTTATTTTCCATCTTTAGGAAGTAGATTTATAGAAAACTATAATAAGCATCGTTCTATATAATCCAATTACCTTGTTCATATCTTGAGATTGTCAATAAATATATTTCACATATCTGTAATGTTTTGCTTTTTCACCTGTCACATGTTATTAAATTTCACTACCACCTACCAATCAACTAATATTAGTTCTAAGTTTTTTTCTGTGTGCTATTCAAGGAAATATTGACAAAATAATTAATTGATTATATCAGAATAAAAGATACTCAACAAGCTAACATATTGTACTATGTAATCAAGAAGTCAGTTTCGCGTGCCAACCAGCTGCACATACAATTGCACATACAATTGCACCAGTTTCTACATCCTTCCACATCCTTGCACACAATGCCGGCAGCAGCTTCTTGGCATGCAGTAAAATATGTCTTATGCGATTACATCTTCTTGCTAAAATGCACTTACATACAAATTTTCTGATAAGCTAAAGTAGATTTTACATCAATTTGATTTTATTTGCTGCAATTTGCCACCATTTCTACTACTCTTCTTCCCATCAAGTTATTTAATATAATTTTGATACCATACGCACACATATAATCAAAACGTTCGCAAAGTGATAAAGTATGTTTTTGATCAGCATAAGAAGGGTGAGTCGATTTAGGAATGTCCTACTATATGCTGGACCACAAACTGATCTCTCACTTGATCTAACCGAATTAAACTTTTCGTAGGGATTATTATGAATCTACGCAGATAAAGTGGATTTAAATTTCTTGATTATATCCAGAAGCTCGTAAAACGAATATAATTGCCGAAAATGAAGTAAGCACATTATAATCATTTTATTTATAACTTATCTACATGCGTGTAGAGTATTAAGGCTTCAGCAAAGCCAAAGATATTTTTATTTTAGTTCTGCGTTTGTTTAAGTACTCGTATTTTCATTTTTTATTTATATTTATTCTCATCAGTCTGCTACGTTTGCCAGTGATTCTCGAAATGTCTTTATGGGTTTTATTTTCGTATAAAAATGAAAAATCTTAAATAAATTTACGCTATCGGCATTTGCTGGGAGCTTTACTTCAAGCACTTGCGTTATAGTAAATATGCATCACTCGTGGCTTTAAATTTGAATTTATCTTCATGCGGCTGTATAGATATTTTTGTATTTCAGCCATTTTAGCCATTTTAGCCATTTTAGCCATTTTAGATGCTTCAGACATTACAAACTCAGCAAATTTTCTGATTAGCTCAATGGATGCTGAAGATTTCATTTATGGCAATTCGAAACGAAATTAGGTCAATTGTGTGTATTGAAACAATTAAACAAATAACTGAAAGGATTACAGACTGGGATTCAAAAACCAAACATGCTTCAAACAACATTAGGGGAATGTAAATGCATAAATTTTGTTTTTGCTGATAATTCCAGCAAATATGGTATAGTGAAATTACTATTAATTTTCGCTATAATTATGTTAAGATACTTTCTTCTAGGCTTCATGAAAGGATTGAAATTTACACTGAAATAAAATACTTCAACTTTATGGTTTATTGAACTACATCTGAACTTATTCCAAAATAGATTGAAACTCGACTGGCAGCGTCTTTCTTTCAATTTATAGGAAATTTAAATAAAATAATATGAGAAATATTAATTTTTATATGCAGCAAGTCCTTATTAATTATTTCTACTTAATATAAAATAAAATAATTTTAATCACCATCAATGTGGTATTCTCGAATGTGTCTAGAGTATTTGGAAATTTTGAACCCAATCGGCAAAATTATATTGCATTATTTTTAGGTTTTTAGATAATATAATAATTTTATGATAAATAAATAATAAATTATTAAAATTATTGAATAGTAAATAATATTGTTTGAAGAATTTTTAATGTGTCTTTAAACACTATTATTGCGTTATTCACTCTTTCATTTAATGGAATTACTAAATGATCTGTTTCGGGTAAAATTTAGATGTATATTGTATTATTGTGTAGGTTACTATTATTTCCATTTCATATTTATTTCCTATGAACACCATTGGGCTATCTTATACTCGTATATGTAGTTATTTGCGAAATATCGGTGTTATATTGTAAACATTTAAATTGTTTCCGAACTATTATATCTGACGGTGACTTATGTACATTGGTTCAGATTTTTTTATTTATTTATTTTATGGCGTCTGTATGCTTAAAACTTTAATTTTTCTGGTCTTATTGGTACGAAGAAAGTGAAGATTCTTTAGAGTCTATTAAATTGTGCAATATATACAGTATATAATGGCCAAAAAGAAACTTTAATTGATTATATTATATCTGTACTTAAGAAGTTAAAGTTAGTCATCACTTTAATAATTTGCTTAAATGAGTCGTATCAATGATTAAAAACTAGTCTTCCTAAATAATAGTAATTGAAATTAAATAATGCAAATGATTTTCCTAGTAGAACGTTGCCGTGACTTTAACAGAGATGTCTTTTTAGGTTTTATTGCTTTCGAAAAAGCTTTGCCACACTGTGGAACATGGCAAACTCATAGAAATTCTGAAGCATTGCAGATTAGATAAAAAGGATATCCGAATAATGGTAGACTTATACTGAAAACCGTACGCAAATGTTTGCATTGTTAGTTACTTCACGCAAGAAGTAGAAATAAAGCGCGGGGTTCACCAAGGGTGCATTCTGTCACCATTACTGTTCAATATATACTCGGAGACTATTTTCAGAGAAGCACTACACGATGCGACAGATGGAGTTATGGTTACCTTATAAACAATATGAGATACGTCGATGATACAATGCTTTTTGCCGATTCAATAGAGGGCTTACAGAACCTTTTAGACGCTGTTGCATTAAAGTGCAGAGAGTACAGCTTAAAATTAAATTGTAGTAAAATCCAATATGGTGGTAAGCAAACGACCTATTTCTAGAGGAAGATTGACAGCATTTGGTTCAGCCATAAAAGGAACCGATAAGTACAATTACTTGGGATGCCAGTTTAATGAGCAATGGGATAATAGTAAAGAAATACGTGTCCGAATTGAAAAAGCAAGGTCTTCTTTTATAAAGACGAAAAACTTGCTGTGTACCCGGCAGCTGTCATTCCCGCTCAGAATAAAAATGCTGCGGTGCTATATATTCTCGTATGCTGAAAATAAGCTGGACAGAAAAAATTACAAATACAGTGGTACTTCGGCGTGTCAACAAAGAGACAGAAATATTGAAGACAGTACAACGTCGTAAATTGGAGTTTTTTGGTCATATTCTGAGGTATCCAGAAAAGTACGGACTACTGAAATTAATCATTGAAGGCAAAATTGAAGGCAGACGTGGCCGTGAAAGTCGAAAGATATCATGGTTGAAGAATTTACGTCAATGGTTTAATAAAAGTACAAGATCACTTATTCCAAGGCACCTAGAAGAAAAAGAATGATTTTACTTCATAATACGGGTGAAGTTATTTTCAGCAAGGTACATCTTTTTACTTCTAAAGAATAATAAATAGGCTATATTGCCTTGATAAATGTAACTCTTAGAAAAAGTCGTTCATTTCAATTATAACAGCAAACCATACATTTCATTGGTTAAGAGCAGTAATGAATCATGAGTTTTGTTGGCACGAATTTTATTTACCTAGGAGTTTTTGGAAAACAAAGCTAAATCATAAAGAAAATTACCTGTGCAACTTGCAGTGAAAGATTTTAAGCAGAATACAGTAGGTGGTGCACTCACTAACGAAGTACAAATACAAACACAAATACAAACAGTGAAATAGATACAAATTGAAACAGAAAAGTAAATAAGAGAAACTCACCTGAAGATAGATTATGACGGGATGACATCGATAGATTTCTTGGCAGAGTCATGCAATCACCTGCGCTTGTTATGTTGCTAGACGAAAGCATATTGCCACGACTGTCGATTAGAGCTGCACTTATGCTGCTACCACTGGTGTTATTAACACCGCCACCACCGCCGCCACCTGGGTTACGGCCGTAGTTCATGGAGTTGGTGTGATGGAGCGTGCCTGCCTTTGGCAATGTCATCATGCCTGCATTATAGCTGACAGAAACGTTGGCTGAGCTGCCAATTGCTGTGTTGGCACGATTAAATGTTTGCGTGTTACCAATGACACCGCTCATGCCTTTTATTTGCATATGTTCACGTTGTGCATTGGCTGATTGTTGTTGTTGCTGCTGCTGTTGATGGTGGTGGTGCTGCTGCTGTTGTTGTTGCTGTTGTTTTGTAGATGTACTGTAAATAACACTACCCATACCGCCCGAGCCCAACATACCCGTAGCTACATCTGCACCACTGACCGCATTGGCTGTGGAAACTTGTTTGCCCTGCATGCCACCACCACCACCACCACATAAGTTTACAGTGCTACTCGAATTACCTGCTCCAGCATTGCCGGTATTCGGGTTTGTTGATTGTGTCAGTTGCATAGCAGTATTGGCGCATATATGTGGTGGCGGTGGTTTCACATCGCTTGCAGTTAGCAGTATGGCACCTTGATCCCCGTGATTTTCAACATCGACAATGACATTTGCACTCTGCGAATGTCCCATGTGATAGTGCGCATGTTTGATGGGATCGGGCGGATATGGCACTTGCTGATGCATATTACGTTGCTGATATTGCTTTTGCAAGGACTTGACTTCCAGTCGTGTCTTATCACGCTGATAATAAACGCCGGCAAAAATTAACACGTTCAGTATTAGCAAACTGCAACCTATGGCAATGGTCACACTTAATGCCGTCGAGTAAGCAGCATAGCCTGCCGCCTCAAAACCAGATGCCAATGTGTCCGTTGTAGCATTTGCGAGTGTGGTGGGTGCAAACACTCCTCCCGTATAATTCCCACCGACGGGTATGCAAGTGGTGAACATGTTGGGCTCCATAGTTGTCACTGAAAGTAAAAAAAGAGAAAATGTAATAAGAAAAAGGATAAAAAGGATAGAAGTGGAAAAAAGCGCAAATACAAGCAGGAGAATTGTAATGTAACTTGACAGTCATTTGAAATGAATGCATTAATATTTTCTGGTTTGTGCTACCTCAGCTGCACTCCCTGTAGCATGAAGGTACCAAGGTGTAAGGTAAGTGAGTAGTGAGTCAGCCAGGAAGACAGTACTTTGCTTGTCTTCTGCATAAGTAGTTATCCTTTTCGTTGCTGTGCTTTCACCTTCTGTTTTTTATTATTGTTTTGTTAAAACTTTTTTTTGCTTATTATGTAAAATTTTTGTTGGAGTTATTTTTTTTTAAATTTGTGCACTTAACTTTATTTCTGTTCAATGGTTTTTTTCTTTTTCCATTTCATTTGCAATGCAAAGTAAAATTTTATTTTAAAATGTTTTATTTTGCGACTATTTTTGCTATTTTTTTGTATTTATACAAATTTTGGAAAAGTGTTGAAACAAAAGTGCAATAATGCGCTGAGTGGGTCTGAAACCTCTTGTAGCAAGTGGATTTTACATGCTTAAGGTGTATCCTTACTTATCTATGTCTACACATTCTAATGGCAGGGATGTGAGAAGTAATGTATTTCGCCTGCTCATAAAAAGTTATGCTTGTATTCTTAGTGCTACTTGCTCACAGATACAGCTTTAGATACAGATACAAGTAAGCGAAAGGAAGAAGCAGTTAAATGGTTTTCCGTTTTCTTTTGATCCTTAATAACAATTTCTGGTATTTGCTAACGGAGAAAGGATTTGTGTAGTTTTTGTTTGTCTGCCTGTTAAGGTTGCCTTTAAATTTCAATTCTTATGTGTACAATACAATTTTTATACTATGTATTATACGATTCTGACAATTGTATTTACAGTTGGAATATGAAACATAAACAGAAACAACGTAGGCTTCCAATAGATTGATGTGGGACTGCATGCATTGAATGCAAATTTATGATGCGCTAGTATTCACGCTGTATAAATATTTTTATGCAAAAGCCAAAACCACAAAAGCATTTGAAATAAAGTAAAAAATATATTGGATTTTGAGTTTCATACGTGCCTTCTTTATTCTAACTTACTGTATTTGATCACTTTTTCTATCACGCTTCAGAGCAATTTATCAGTTAGGAATTTTTCATTTTATTAATATGTAATATATTTTGAAGATTTTGGAAAGTTAAAAACTCTACTCTTAAAAAGCATTCTATTGAACCCTTGTCAGGCGCATAACTAACCCGGCAATAAATAAGTCAGTTTAATAAAATCAGGTGAATCGTATGTGTCAACACAAGAGCCATTCATTGCCCCATAGGCCACTTCATTATTCACATGTATTTCATATCTAAATTTTTTCCTTCATAGGCGTAGTAATATTATACAGTTAAACAGGGTGGTAGCCTCTTACGGCACTTTTATTTATATTAACATTACACTACGCCATTTGCGGAGGTACTGGTATTATAATAAAAAAAAGACAAACACTATTGTTTAGAAGACTTCAGTAAAGTTTATCTGCAATCAACTGTTATTCGATTTGATGAATATGGAGAAAATGTCGTAATAGCTGCAATATATTGTCTACCCAACCACAATGTAGAAGTTCAAGACTTCCAAAACTTTTTTAAAACACTCGGTAAATTTCTAGTTGCAGGCGATTTTAATGCCAAGCACACATTCTGGGGTTCAAGACTAATAACACCAAGAGGACGGAAAGTTCTAGCAGTTGTGAAAAGTGAAGATCTTGATGTCATTTCAACTGGACAGCCAACTTACTAGCCTTCTGTTCGATAAAAAGTTCCAGATCTTACTGACTTTGGCCTCAGCAAAAAAATTTAACTATTAACAATCACCGCATTTCCATCAGTTGAACTGTCATCAGACCACTCACCAACAATAATAACAGTACAATATCAACAGAATAGAACTATCCAAACGCAAAGTTTAACGAAATATATAAATTGGTTAAAATTTCGTAAATATCTCTCTTGCCATATACCACAATATACTTCGTTAAAAGAGAGTAATGAAATTGATGCTAGTGTTAACAAATTTTCTAAAGTAATCTCAACGGGTGCGGAAGTAGCTTCGATAAGAACTGAAAAAACAACCCAAAAAATTGGTGTGACAAAAACAATAGAGGCATTTTAACAACGGAAGAGGAAAGCTAGAAGACTATGGCAACGACTTAGATCCCCAAAACATAAAGTTCTACTTGCTAAATGTACTAATGAACTCAAATATGCACTAGCGGAAAGACATCAAAAATCCCTAGACAATTTTCTATACAAATTGGCACCTAATCAACAAACTGACTATTCACTTTGGAAGGCAACAAAGTACTTCAAACAGCCTATCCAGCATGAATCTTCTCTCAGACTACAAAATGGTGATTGGGCACGAAGTGACTCTGAGAAAGGTTGTAAAACATTTGAAAAATGTATTTACTCCAAATGATGCTTCAAATAACGCCTCTTTACCAATAACAAACCTATATCCCTCCAGCAGTCCGCTTATCTTTAAACTAGAAAATATCACTAAAATTATAAAAGATCTCAATGCGAAAAAGGCAGCAGGACTTGATAAAATCACAATTGCAATGGTGAAACAGTTACCATAATGTGCCATTTTACATTTAGCATTTATATAACGCTATCTTACGGACAGGTTATTATCCCAAACTTTGGAAAATGTCACAAATAACAATGATACCTAAAGCTGGGAAGGACAAAATCAAAGTAGAATCTTACAGAATAATTAGCGTCCTTTCAGTGTTATCAAAAATATTTGAAAAGCTGCTAATATAATTCTCAGCTCACGAAATAATTCCGGAACATCAATTCGGCTTCAGAGCTAAACATAGTACAATTGAACAAATGCATCGTATTGTATCATTCGTTAGAAACTCATTTCAAAATAAACAATACTGCATTTCTATATTTATAGATGTAGCCCAAGCGTTTGATAAAGTATGCACGAAGTCTTAATACATTACAACACCTCATGCCAGCTAACACACTCAACTTTTATTAAAAAACTACTTAAGTAAAAGAAGTTTTAGTTTAAGATATAAAGACTTTGTTTCAGAACCTTGTCCTATCAAAGCAGCAGTTCCTCAAGGAAGTGTAATAGGCCCGCTATTATACCTACTGTATATAAGTGATATGCCAACTTCAAAAAACACAACAACAACAACTGCAACATTTGCTGATGATACAGCAATACTAAGTGCATACAAAAACCGCAATCGCACAACGCATGCTTCAAGACCATGTTCACCAACTCGAGCAATGGTTATCAGTATGGCGTATCAAAGTCAATGAACAAAAATGTACCCATGTAACATTTGCTCTAAGCCCAGGAAACTGTCCCAATATTACTATAAATGAGCAAAAAGTACCTTCGAGCGACTATGTAAAATATTAAGGGATACATCTAGATAGACGTTTAATTTGGAATAATCACATAGAGGCTAAAAAGACACAAATAAATATAAAATTAAGTTCATTGCATTGGCTTATGGGCACGACATCTAAGCTACCACTTGAATACAAAATTCTGCTAAACAAGTAGATAATAAAACCTATATGGAGATACGGAATTCAACTGTGGGGAACAGCGATGCCATCAAATATTGAAAAACTGCAAAGGCTGCAATCTAAAACTCTAGGAATGATGAAAAATGCTAACCTTCATAGAGATTTGAGCGTGCCAACAGTAATAGAAGAAGCTGCTCGGTGTAGCCGTCAGCACCTCTTAAAGTTAGAAGATCATCCTAACCAATCAGCTTTCATGCTGCTACTGAACAAAGGCCACAGACGTCTATAAAAGAAGGACACCATCAACATCTGTTAACTTTCTAAATTTTTATTTGATTTAAAATATTATAAATTTATTTAATTGAATTGAATGTATTTTTTTTTAATTGAATTTTAATTTTAACTTAATTTTAGTTTTTAATTTTAGTTCTAATTTGAATTTTAATTTTAATTTTCAATCTTATCTTATTATAAATAATTCAATGTCTGTCTAAATACTTTTTTCCAAAGCAATGGCTTAGGGAAAAAAATAAATTTAGTTTTAAGATTTGATCCATTTATTGTCAGTTTCGTTTTTAGAAAGATTCAATAAATGATTTATTAATTTAAAAAAAAAAAAAAAAAAAAAAAAATTACGTCATTCACTCCCTTGAACATTTCGGCAATATTATAAAAACGACGTACCAGATCTGTGCGAATGTAGACGATATTGCAGTCATTGCAAAGAGCGAAAGGGATCTATCAAATGTCTTCAAGAAGTTAGACGAAAGCACTTAAAAGGTTGGTCTGAGAATAAATGAAAGTAAATCGAAATATCTCAAGCTAATGAGAAGGAACGACAGTATTGACACGCAACACAGCAATTGGTGAATACAATTTTGAGATTGTTAGCAACTTTACCTACCTTGGTGCGGTAATTAACAACAACGCAATAAGAGCTTCATTGTGACGCTCTGGAGCAATCTTCTAAGGCGTGCACACAGATGATAGTCGCTAAGAGCCAGATCTGAAAAGTACGGTATATGTGGAGGCACTTTAAAGTGCAATTTATGAGATTTGTGCTCGGATCGTTAAATAAAGAAAAGTAATTTATATTTGGCTAAAGAAATATAGTATACGGAATCCTCGTCGAACTGCTGTTTTCATCTCATTGTGAGTAAAAGCGCTACCTTACCTATTGCACCGCCAAATGTTCTTACAATGTAACACTATTCTAATCGCGAAATTGCATTATTTTCAAATTAGGGAAATAGAATCACTACAATCACTATATATCATCTACTAAACTTCAAATTGTTGTGAAATTTTGACACATACCGTTTGAAAGCTATTTCTTTCTAAAACGTATATCAATTTGTTAATAGTGGCGTAATTTATATGCCATCCACAAGTATTCTGCAAAAAGTAATAGAAGAATTACATGA